AAAAGAAAAAGAAAAAAAAAAGAAAAGAAATTACCCAGTCAGGGTAGCAAACAAACAAACAAAGAATGAAAAATAGCAGAGATAGCTTAAAGGACATATAAGACATCATCAATAGAGTAAAATATGTATTATTAAAGTCCCAGGAGAAGAGAAAGAGAAAGAACCAGAAAATTTATTTAATGAATAGGTGAAAACTCCCTATATCTTGGAAAGGAAATGGACATCTAGACCTAGAAAGCCCAAATGATCCAAATAAGATGAACTTGAAGAAATTCACAGAGACATATGATAATCAAATTATCAAAATTCAAAGACAAAGAGAGAATAATAAAAGCTTAAATAAGCTGACAGTTAAAAAGTACTAGAACAGCCTTACAAGAAATCTAAGGGCAATTCATTGAGCTGAAAAAATGCTAAACAGCAGCCCAATAGCCTAAAAAGTATAAAACTTGTTGGCAAAGAGTAATCTTGTTTTTAACGCAATGTTTCAAAGACCTAAACGTATGGGTGACAATTATCTGTTTCAAAGACCTAAACATATGATGACAATTTCCAAAACTCTCTATGGAAAACAGAGGGTAAAACTTGACGTTGGATTTGGCAAGGATGTGAGACCTCAAAGCATAGGTAACAAAATAAAATAGATAAACCAATCTATATTAAAATGTAAAACTTTTGTACATCAAAAGAAAACCATCAGGAAGGTGAGAAGGCAACCTACAGAATGGGAGAAAATATTCAAAAATCATATATCTAATTAAAAGTTAATATCTGGCTCAGTGCCCATAGCACAGTGGGGTGCCAGCCACATACAGTAAAGCTGGCAGGTTTGAACCCGGCCCGGGCCATCGAAATCAATAATGACAACTGTAACAAAAAATAGCTGGGTGTTGTGGCCAGGGCCTGTAGTCCCAGCTACTTGGGAGGCTGAAGCAACAGAATTGCTTAAGCCCATGAGTTTGAGGTTGCTGTGAGCTGTGATGACAAAGCACTCTACTGTGAGGGTGACATAGTGAGACTCTGTCTCAAAAAAAAAAAATGTCGACATAGCAAGACTATGTCTCAAAAAAAAAAAGCGTTAATATCCAAAATAATAAACTCCTACAATACAACAACAAAAATTATTTTACAAATGTATAAAGGACTTTAATAAACATTTCTCTAAAAAGACTCAAATGGACAAGTAAGTACATGAAAAGATGTTTGACATCACTAACCATGAGGGAAGTAAAAACAAAAACAACATGATATATCATCTCACACCCACAAGAATGGCTACTGTCAGAAACAAAAAAAAAAAAAAAAAAGGAAAAAGAATTAAGTATTGATGAAGATGTAGAAAAACTGGAACGTTTGTGGCACTGCTGGTGGGAATGTAAAATGGTATACTGTAGTTACTATGCAAAATACTATGATACTCCTAAATACTCCTAAAAAAATTAAAAATAGAGGGCAGCGCCAGTGGCTCAAAGGAGTAGGGCGCTGGCCCCATATACCAGAGGTGGTGGGTTCAAACCTGGCCGTAGCCAAAAACTGCAAAAAAATAAAAAATTAAAAATAGATGTAACATATGATCTAACAATTCTACATCTGAGTGTATACAAAAGAGCTGGAAGCAGGGACTCCAAAAGACACTTTTACACCAATGTTCATAGTAGCATTATTCACAAATGCCAAATGGAGGAAGCAACCCAAGTGTTCATTGACAAATGAATGAATAGATAAACAAAAATATGATATGTACAACCAATTAAATATTTAGACTCAAAAAAGAAAGGGAATTCTGACATATGACATGTGGAAGACCCTTGAGGACATGCTAAGTAAAACAACCAAATACAAAATGACAAATATCGTAGATTCCTCTCATGAGGTACCTAGAATAGTCAAGTTCAGAGATAGAAAGTAGAGTAGTGGTTGCTAGGGACTACGGAGAAGGGAAAATGAGAAGTTGTTTAATGGGTAAATAGTTTTGAGAGAGGATACCCGAGAAGGGTGAGGTCTAGGAGAACAGGTGACCACAGGATACATCTGCGGGGTCCTCTCCATGGTGATTCATCTCTTTGGAATTTGTAAACTTAACTTGGAAATTTGTACGTCTGTAAAATCCTGTAGTTCTGTGGGAACTGGAATAGCATCTCCTGAATGGTTCAAACTGACCAATGGGAAGGGTACCTATGGGTTGGAACTTTTTGACAGTTGATAAAAAGGGAAAGACCAAGCCAGTCGAGGAGCTCGGCCATTTGGAAATCTTCTATGCTGTAAGCTCCCAGCCAGTGAATAAAACCCTTCCTCTAATAAACATGGTGTTTGGATGCTCTTTCTCTTCGTTGGGCCTCATCTTCCTGCAACAGTTTCAGTTCTGCAAGATGAAAAAGTTCTAGAGATTGGTTGCACAACATTAACATACTTAACACTATTGTACTGTATGCTTAAAAATGGTCACAATAGTAAATTTTATGTTATGTATAATTTTTTTTTTTTGAGACAGAGCCTCAAGCTGTCCCCCTGGGTAGATTGCTGTGGCATCACAGCTCACAGCAACCTCCAACTCCTGGGCTTAAGCAAATCTCCTGCATCCGCCTCCCAAGTAGCTGGGAACACAGGCGCCCGCCACAACACCTGGCTATATATATACACACACACATATATTTGGTTCCAGCCATCATTCATCATTGTTGTTTGGCGGGCCTGGGCTGGATTCGAACCCACCACCTTAGGTGTATGTGCCTTAGACACTTGAGCCACAGGTGCTAAGCCTATGTTATGTATAATTTTACTACATTACAGGTAAATTTAAAAAAAGAAATGAGACAGAATGCCCACAGGTGCTTTACCCAATTTCTCCAATGTGTAACCACAGTATAATATCAAAAAAAGGATATGACATTGATAGTTAAGATACCAAAAATTCCATCACCTTGTGGTGAATTCCAGTTGTCATTTAGTAGCCATACCCATCTTTCCCCCTCTAGCCCCTACACTGTCCTTAACCCTTGATAATGCTTAACCTGTTGCTCAAATCTTTTTTCTTTGTAAGTAATTTATGTAAATGAAACCACAAAGTAGATAACACTTTGAGATTAACATTTTTTCATTTAATATATTCT